GAAAGTGGCTTTAATCCTCGTTTTTTAGTTTTAAGTCGCAAAAGGATGACGTACGAAAAATAAATATGCATTGCTGACGATCGAGTTATTTTTTTCAAAAAAAAAACTGTGCATTACGTCTTTACTGTTATTATGCTTCGGACGATGTGAAAGTATCCGTAACGTTTTTTTTTTTTGTCATACATACGTAGTTCAGCAATCTTACTATATTCGGACGCTGCCGCATTTTATCAGTATCTACGTCAGCCCGATATTTTGCGCTGTTTATTGTTCATTCGCAATGCCGCGATTTAATATGGCTGATTTATGAATTCGTTTCGTATATTTTGGTGTTACTTGATTATTAATTAGCTTAACATTGTAATGTAATGCATGCGCATATTATAGTAATGCGACGTGCATTTGTTAATTCTACATTTATTTCAATGAATTATGCGTTTCTGTGGGCGAGCGCGTAAACGCAAAAGCAAATGATCAATATTATTGTCAATATTATGGCAATGCACATGTGTCAATACGATCCAGAACAAATACAGCAATATTAAACAAAAATAACAGAATCTAGGACATGGACGATCAAAGGCATTTGATAGAAATAGACTGCGGATTGCGTGAAATTAACCCCGTAAGGACTATAGCTGTGTTAGCACGGTTCCAATTTTCTGCCAGATTTCCCTCATGACATGTTACCGCGACCTGCTGTATTTGTTTCCACAAAAATTCGGGAAATTTTCATCCATTTTCGCAGAACAATTCGTTTTTCAAGGTATTACGACAGAAAATACATAAGATAACACATGAACCGGTAAAAAGATTCAAACTATTTAATAGTAACATTCAATCTACCAAAATTAATAAGCAAGACAAGAGATTTCCATTTCACTCCTGCAAGTTTCATTTCATGCAAAAGTTCATTATTCTGTCTAAAGATAAGCAATGCATGTGCAGTGATGTCTTAGGTTTTTTTTTTTAGATGTTAGACAGAGCTTTTTTCGTCATTCTAAGCAATTACAATTTAAAGAAAAGATTTTTAGTTATCGTCTAGCAATCTAGTCTCACATATGTAAAAAATTGAGGTTGTTTGGTCCAATATTAAAATAATTATATATAATTTTCAACGGTGGTCGTCTGTTTCGACACGCAGAAGCACAAAAGCACAAAAGCACAAAAGTATAGCAAGAGCCTGCATTTTTATATTTTGTAATTAGTTTGTGAATTTTACAAGGTAGTTAATATTTTGGATTCCGAAGTTCCAGAGAGTTGTCACTACGTAAGAAGAACAATTTTCTTCAAGTATAGAAGTTGAAAAATTGTATTTCGAACCACAGATTTCCCAGAGCACTCTACACCGTAGAGCTCAAACTGCGGCTTTCGCAAGTCGTAGAAAAACATTTAACGGAAGGAAACCCTTTTTATCATCTCGCGGCACGGTGTCAATAATAACAGTTCCGGCTTGCCGACACGTTTCCTCTTTGCTAAACGCTAGAAAAGTCGCTGTCCTCGAGAGCAAACAGCCGCCATTAGAAACGTGGGACGGTGATTAAAACCACCGTCGACGACAATGCTGTCGCCCGGCGTGACGTCTAACAATTTCCTTGGCGTATCACGGGCCTATCTTTTAATTAACTGAGCATTGAGCATGATGCCGGTAGTATTAGTCAATTAAGCCAGCTGGCTGGCGCGCGCGTGCGTGTCCGAGACAAGAGGAGAAAGTTTAGCGCATCCCTTCGGTGTTTGTCGCACGTTGACGCCGGTCTACGATATTTGCTCCTTAATTACGAGCAGCCTCGATGAAAATCGGCTGCGAGGCCGGGCCGTTTCATAATTAATTAATTGCCAGATATCTAGGGGCGCGGTCTCGCGTTACCGGGCCGCGCACGTGTGTGAGTTCCATTCTCTTCCTGGGGATAACGACCCGGCGATTTTCACCGGATTGGTTACGTGCGTTACCAAAAACTTTCCTGTCGCGAGGCGCTTTTGATCGCGTAATGGGCGGCGAACCGGCGGTTATCCAGCTGCACTGTGCCGCGTGCCGCGCCGCGCTGCGCCGGGCTGAGTTTTGTAACGCGAGCCCCGGTGAAAGAAGGAAAGTATCGGGATGATGCGTAACCGGTCATCGATCAACTGCAATATCATATTACACCGCTAATTGTCCCGTCGATGCGATCGCCAACTCGGTTTAAACCCGCCCAACGATCATTCCCGTCGTTACGTCAGCGAACTCGTTGCCAGAAATATTGTCGTCGGTGGGCGCTTCTTTTTTCCGGTCGCGCGAAAGTCTGGTAGAGCTTCTTTTTTTGTTTCGTTGCACTTTCGTTCGCATTGCATTCACGATCCCAAGGTTCGCGGGTCGATTCGATTACAGGACAGAATTGGGTAGAAATTTAATCGACGACTAACGATTTAATTTGCTACTGCTAATCGTTAATTGAAATTAACATATTACATCCGCTTTAATCATCAATCGCAATCGACGATTGAAATATTACTGTTCATTGTTAATCGTAATGAATGATTAAATTTCTTTTAATTGCTAGACACGATTAACGGCCAAAGTGGAATCCCCTAAACAAATACAAAAATTTGATAAAGTAATGAACATGAGAAAGACAATTCTTAACGGTATTACATCGAAATAACCTTCCAATTTCATTCAAAAATCAATTATTCAATCGTCAGTGTTTCGACGATTAATGCCTGTAATCGTGTTCATCGATCATTTAATCGGATTGAAAATTTTGATCGATCGATGTCCAACATTGTTACGTATAAAGCCTTCAAAAATATTGGTCTCTTGTATAGGAAATTTATTGTCGTGTCGAATGGGTGTTTAAACCCGTTGATTGGCACGTCGGTTATGTCTGTTACAAATTATGTTTTATTATAATGTGGGGACTGGGATTTGGAAGTGTTAAAAGAATAATCACAGTGATAAATCATGATATTGCGGGCACGGTTTTATTTGCTACATTATTCTGATTTTGTGGGACTTTTCCGGGTGGAGGTGCGCCAGTGAACGTGTTAATGACTGTTTCATGACTGAAAATTAAATGGCAGTTTACTACTTCAATAAACGTTTCATACGAGAAGATATCAGAATGAAATCTATATTCTACTTTGTCAGAATTATTATCGTACCGGACTTTTATTAGTAGTATCTATTGCGAATTGATAAAGAATTGGTCAACATAAACGAATGAAACAGGGCAAGGAGCAATTGCTAGCGCAATTATATCTAATGTGCTGCAAATTATATCAGACACAATGCAAATGAAATTTGAATAATCAATTATGATTGGGTATAGCTCTTCTGATTGACGGGTCGTTAAAATAAGTTAATAGATACAGCCAGTTTATGTACGATTACGTTTAATTTGGTTACGCTATTAAACTCCCCATTCGAGGTACGATGTGTCTTCGTACAGAGGAAGTTATACCCGCGTAAATTTCTAATAGGAACGCTTAATGAAAATTTACTGTCCATAATTATTGTTTATCGTTAACCTTCCGGGTTGGTTGCCATTAATTTCTTTCGCAATATAGAATTCAATTATCAAGTGTTACATATGAAAGCGTCATATAGATCGGAGAACATAATTATAATTAGACTTATGGCAATTATCAATTTGCGAATATTTATTTATACACTCATTTTCTATTTTACGTAACATCAACATTTTCATTTCTCTACAATTACGTTGCAACAAACATTCTGATTTATCTGTTTAAAATGTGAGACTATAAATAGAATACAATTGGTTAAATTAAACCTAGCGTTCTTATGGGAGGGTCAGAAAATATCCACAAAATTTTAAGCATGTTGTTTTGTTCTAACAATGTTCTTTCATACATTTTTTATATTTTATTTTTGCATTAATAGGTACCTTAAGTGTACCATTTAACAGTACTGTATAAACAAATATGGATACAGAATGATCCTCCCTTGCAGACTTAAAATCTTCTAATATTTTAAGCGTCCTAGGGCCAATAATTAAGTAAATACATATTTCCAATGTCACATTAGGATTATTATTTTACATTTCATTCAAAGCGTTATTCTCTACTCCACGAACAACAGGTTTACAGGTTTCCCCTGTAAATTGACAACAATGGAGGATGTTGTTATAGATAAAGAATTGCAAAGTAAAAGTCGAATCGATTGCAAGACGCAGTAGCGACGTAGAAATATCTTTCCTTCTTCGATCATTCGGGGAAGTTAAAAATCCTCAAGATCTTAAATCGTCGCATAAGGGAGTCTTTAGTGTGCTTAAATGTTCCCAACCTGTTTTACATTTCTTCTTCCTATATTTGTCATAAAAGCATAAAATCCGCAGGCTACTCGTTACGTTACACCTCGTACATCGAACGTCTGTATAATGACCATAACAACCGCGAGCGTGGCAAAAGATTGTAAACCTGCAAACAGGAACAACAATGCAAGGAGAGAACCGCTTCCTCTTAGCAGCGGCGGCGGCGGCGATACGAAATTTCTTCCTTACCGCGAAGAAAGAGGAATACAGCGAGAGAGAGAGAGAGAGAGAGAGAGAGAGAGAGAGAGAGGGAGAGAGAGAGAGAGAGAGAGCAGATAAACATTACCGGGACTTCGAGAGGCTGATTGTGTAAGAGGCCAGGATCGGAATTGTGTCCGGTACAATTTTACGAGGTTGGAGTGCGCGTCGGTATCGGAGCCGAGCGTGCCCGTCGTTCCTTCCGAAGTGAAAGAAAAAGAAACGCCGATGAGGAACCGGCCTCCGCGGGATCGTTGCACGCTGGATCGCCGCGCCTCCTCGATCATCGGCTGAAAGGGGCCCGAGCGAATCGCGAAACAGCTGGAACGCGTGGAAGCGTTACGCACGCGGATCCGGGGATCCGGTAGTGATCGGACGACGGGTGGTAGCCGTACGGTGGGCCCGTGGGAAAACGGCTTAACGCCTTCGCCACGGTGAGGTAGCACAATCGGTCCACTTTAATGCCGGCGGACGAGTAGTATTTTCCGGGGAGTGGGCCACTGGCCACGGCGAAAGTGCCGGTATATATGCCAGTGATTGGCGCGATGTAACTTCAGTGTGCACCTTCGAACGAAACCATGAGCACTCCGCAGGTGAGCTCGCGTCCCTCCAGCCGAACACGCACGCACGACTAGAACATATTTCTTTTCCGATGCGGATTACGTAAGCCGCCGGAGAAAGTTCGGCTGTAAACTCGGTTCTTTCGATTTTGCCTCGCCAGGGGTGGAAGATTCGTTCCACGATCTTACGCTGCGTGGAACGTTGCACTCGCTGTTCCCCGAAATTTTCACTTCTATCGCTGCCCTTCGCTGCGACATTTTTCCGGGTCGCTTATATCGTTGCCTGATTTTCGAAGGGGAGACCAATGTATATCGGTCACACGTTAGCACGGGGTAAATCGAAGACCTAGCTTCCGAAATTCTGCTTAACGCATTGTCTCAATTGTCAAAATTTGCACCTAGGTCATCCAATCGTGGGGTGGCAACCGGTATGCCTCGGGTGTCTCTTTCGAAGCTAAACAAGTCCGGCTAGCTACGACAATGTTAGGACACGGTATTCGTGGGCCTCTCGGTTTTAACAGCATTTTTCTCTTCAGAAGCTTTTAATTCTTGCCCTTGTGGCGACGTCGACCCTGGCCGGAGAGACGAAGGAGTCCAACGCCAAGTCAGTTACTCAGACGAAAGAGAAGAGCAAACGAGGCTTGGAGTTGAGTTTAGGAGGCGATGACTTCGGAGGCTTCCACGGATCGAGTCTCGGCGGCGGCGGCGGCGGAGGATTGAGTCTCGGAGGCGGACACGGTTTGGGAGGAGGACTCGGCGGAGGATTCGGTGGAGGATTCGGCGGAGGATTCGGCGGCGGTGGTGGCGGCGGAGGTGGCGGCGATGGCGGCAGGATCACTGGCATCACGATCCACCAGGAGAAGCAAGTTCGCGTCCCGGCGCCGTACCCGGTCGAGAAGAACATACCCGTACCGTACCCGGTCCCGGTCAAGATCCCCGTGGAGCGTCCGATACCGGTGCACGTACCGAAACCTTACCCAGTCCCCGTAGAGAAAACGATCCCCGTGCCAGTGGAGAAACCAGTCCCAGTGCCGTACAGTGTGCCGGTCAAAGTGCCCGTGTCGGTCCCGTACCCGGTCAGCGTGCCGGTAAAGATACCGGTAACGATCGAGAAGGAAGTTCCCTACCCAGTCAAGGTCCCCGTCTTAATCAAGGAGTCCGTCCCAGTTTATGTTAGCAGTGGTCATGGAGGCGGCGGCGGCGGCGGCGGCGGTGGTTTCGGTGGCGGATTCGGCGGCGGACACGGCGGTGGCGGATTTGGCGGTGGACACGGACTGTCCTTCGGCCATTAATTAGGATCAATCTCGTCAATGTGGACTCTCGTCCATACACAATCATTTTGTATATAATGATATATTTTTTTATGGAAAATAAATATTAAATTATTAAGTGGTATTTGTACATTCTGCGTTCGACATGATTTCTTGGCGATCTCGAGATCAAGGTTCCGAAAAACAACCGTCTCGTACCGTTAGATTTCGTTTCTGCCAGAACCGGAAACTTCTCCGTTCGAAAATTTCTAACCGTTGCAAGTGAACAACGGTTTGTTATGCAAATTCTCCTTTGCAGGCGTTATTTTTATAAAATTCTGTACTAAAGTGTCTTTTCGAACTGGAAAGGGAACATAGGGAACATAAAAATGCTATTCGGTACCGTTAATTTATGCGTTTTCTTGCTTTCAAACAATTTAGATGGTTATGCCATGAATGCATAAAAATCCGCAGATCTAGTTACGAGATGTATCGATTCCGGCTTACAGTTTCGATTCGATAGAAATGATAATTTTTCGATTTGGGTATCGAACATGCGTTTCGGTTATAGTTTTATTTTACATGATAAATACATTGTATTTCCTTTAGTTATTAAAAGCATCGATTCTATTTTTAAGTCGAAAATGCGCGCGATATGATTACACGTTTATAATACTTTCTATTACCGACAAGTTGTGTTTACCACTCAGAATCGAAAAGCAACAGTTAGAGAACCAATACCGAAGAACCGAAACTAATATACTTTATAAGTAGACTACGGATTTTATATGAGAAAAACGTGTACATGGAACACAAGACAGTGGAATGGTTATAAGATTTCAAGAATACTGTTACATTATTCTCAATCTATTCGACACATGAAGAAGGAAAATCAACTACTATTTTACTTTAGTTTGTTGCAATCTAGGTAGGCCACTTTTATTTTGCATAAAGATCCGCAGTCTACCAATAACAATCATGAGACTTTATCGGTTCGCACGGCAACGTTCAAAAACACGCGTGATACGTGCGAAAACATGAAATGATACCGATAGAATAGATAGGGAAGTATCGGTTGGCGACAAGAGGTACAATAGAAGAGATTGTCTTCCTTCCGCTTCTTTTTATGGTTCCACACCGCAGTTAGAAACGACTACCTAGGATTGTTTAGTTGGAAATCTAGTTCCGTACGACGGCGAATATGTCTCGAATTGTATGTGTAATTGGTGGAAACGGTTTGACGTGGTTAATGCGCGTGATTAGGAGAAAGGAAATGCCGTTCGCCGTATCCCCTTCGACGCGTCTTGCTATGGAAAATAAAGCCCCGGCATGTGCGTTGCAAATTGAGTTATAATTCCGTACCCCGGCATTTTTTGCTTCCAGGTCGTTTATACTTGTTAGGTGTTCCTGCCACACGTAACGAAGAATGATTGCAATTTCTCTCGAACGCGGTTAGATTTCCGCTCGATCTGCCACTCTTCCGATATTCCGCGCGAATAGAAACATTGAACATTCTCAAGGGGCTCGGAGAAATGGAACTTTATTCTCGAATTAATTGTGAGCGAATGAAATATATACACCGTTTCCTGTTACGTCGTACAAACCGGTTCTCTGCTGAAAAAAAAATAAGTCAACCTCTCGAACAGTATTCGATGAAATAATAAACTGCAACATAAATTCGTTACAGTATCGTTTCCCTCTGTCGGTTGCTGGTTGCTCGCAGTCACATCCTGGCCATTAAAACTCTCTTAATGAACAGCATCGTATTTATCGAGGCTCGTTGATGTAACTTCTAAAACGTATTATATTGCACGGGATAACAACTATACCTGTGTGTGTTTACGATCGGTAAACAGAGTACGTTGTAGAATCGTCGAGTGCTATTAATTAGCGGCGGATACGCGCCGATTATTTCGTCAATTACGACCGAATTACGAAATAGTGCAGACCGTTCCGAGTACAGTCGTGAACAATGATCGTACTCGATATCGTTCGGCGCATCAAATTTCCACGTGCAGACTGGATTCGGTCTCCCTTCGACGCGCTTTTACTTTCTCCGACGGTGTCGCGAGACGAGGTGCAGAATAAACGCGTGGGTGGTTTCCGCAGCGGATGAGACACGCGTCGCGACGTCCCGTCATTTTACCGACGCCACCGTCGCGTCGCTGCCAACATCCGGCGGTTTAAACGCCTGGATTCAGCCGCACGGTTCGTTAACCGCGCGCTTCTTGCCGGCGCGTCGAGGACCGATTTCTCGATGCACGGTTAACCAGAAACTGTCTTACGTGAACAGAGAAACTGCGGCCGAACGTGGGCACCAGGCTGTGTCCCGCGCGTTGCGAAAACAGGGTAAAGGTCAGGCAACTTTTCTTCGGCAGCTGTGCCCCGTTACTCTTCTTCGGCGCCACGAATGCACCGTCTCGCAGGAATGTTGGTCGGAATTACTTGAAAGTGAATTTTAATGTACTCGCGATACTAAATTTGATCGCGTCCTGACGAGCGAAAGAAAGTTGACGAAGTTCATCGTACGGTGTAGTATAAATAGATACGTTCATCTTGACTTTCCAATTTTTAATTTATGCAATGAATTACGCTAATTTTATAGAACTCTTGCGGTTGTTGGAAGCGATCGTAAAAGTATTTTGACAGTATGGCTCGCGATGGCGATTTCTAGTAATAACCCGATAAATTATTTCATTCGCTTTTAAGTCGGAATACATTTCTGTTAATGACTTCGATGGAAATGGTATGGCAAGCAGTTAATAAGAAGAAGGATAACCACTTTTCACTGTGTAAAACCTGGCGGCAATATTACTCTTACCGGAAGCGTATTAATAGACTTTTCAATTACTGAACTATGTTTAAAAGGAACCCGATAATTTTCTTTTGAGTAATCATTTCTTCGATTTTAAGATTTCTATTAGAGAAAATTCGCGGTAGGTAAGATGTTGACACTAAACCTACCGTAACGGTCATTTCGACCGGTTTCGCATTTTTTTATTTTGAAATTATTCAATTTATAAAGTGTCGTCTAATAAAAATTGTGAAATATTTTAATAAATTCAATCTCGTCGTTCTAATAGAATTACTTGCAATTGATTTTAGTGCTCGTTAGGATCAGTGTTAACGCGTTACGCTATCTCCTATTGCAGAAAGAATCCTTTCCGCGGACGTGTGCGCACATCGTTGCGAAATTTACATTGTCCGTTTCAAATCTTTCACGAGAGGTGAAAGCGCCAATTTACGTGAATCGATTCACCGTGCAAATGTTCCTTCAAATTGAACGGCGTCCCTAAAACGACTCCGACAACACGTGGTCGGTTCTATCATTAAGATCAGCTTTCATACATTTTTTTTCGGACGACTTTTGCCGCCGTAACGTTCGCAACGTTTCCGTAACTTTCTTACGTGGCATTATTCACGTTAACGTACTCGTTCCGGTCTACTTCAATAAACATCGTCGTTGCTCGCATAATTCTGATCGATTCGAGTGAAGCAAGACCGCGAGATATGTAATCCCACCATCGTTGCGACTCCGACCGCCGCGATCCGGCAATTTCGCGCCACGACAGCAGAAATGATCGTACAAACCAGCAGAAACGTAATCTGACTTTGACGGAGCTTACAAGATACCGACGACAGGGATGTGTTTTGCTCGATGTCAAGCGATATCTATGTCTCGAATGATTCCCTCGATCATTCTGATCTCGTAAGAGCTCGGGAAAACACTATCTTCTGTACTTCCAGGGGATTGCAATTACGTGGTTTCTAATTCCAAAGGAGAATGGAAAGTTATTATTAGACCTGCATAGAAATTGAAGTCATGATCAGGTGATTCCAAAAACGTATTTTTTATTTTTCATATTTTGTAAATGTATGTTTATGAACGTACGCGATATATTACTTGTCGTGCACATGCATATATTATGCTCACCTGGATCATCCAACGTAATCAGATTAATTTAGTCTATTAGTAGGAATTCATATTATAATCAGATAGTGTGTTGGTAGCAGTCAGCATTTCTATTATAACTGGATAGTGTTCGTAGCAATTATACATATATCAATATTATGCTGAATAGACATCACAGCAAACCATCAACTAACGCCATCGAATTTAGAAAAAATGCTTGTAATATAGTATAATATTTAAAATACTATAATACATCAAAATAACTATAAAACGTTTCTTGATTAATATTAGACTTAACACTTAATGTAGTATATGCTCAATATCGTGCATATTTTGCACATTTTTCGAATGCATTTTGCAGATTTATCGTGCACAACATCCGCAATTTAGTTATTATGGTACAGTAATAAATAAGATTATGAAACCGTTCAAAGATTAAAATGAGAAATCATTTAACCAGAGGCTTCAGCAGTTTATGGGGATTCAATTCGTTTTGTTCTGGCGCGTTCTAGAGTTGAAACTTCCTTGTACCGAAGCATTTAGGCAACGAGACGAAAGCGGTATTGGTAATACGGAACTGTTCTTGATTATGCCAGTCAGCTGCCTACAGTTAGGGAAATAGGAAACCGATGATATGCCGTTAACGCATGCGAGTTCGGTTAGTTCAACGTTAGCGAGATCTAAGGATCAAGGTTTCCTTGTAACGAAGACTGTCCCAGCAACGGGATTGGTCTATGCTAGCAAGCTTTGTTATGAAAATAGGGATTCTGCGTTTGACGTATTGTCGATGCATTTGGGTTTGATTAGTCTAACAGTGCCGAGGCTCTTTAAGGTCAAGGTTTCTTTGATACGCGGCATCCTGTGAGCCAATCAAAGAGGTAACAAGAACATCGGCGATGCAGGAATGGTGTAAACTATGCAATACGCTATACATACCTGGCAGACGATATTCGATCAAGATCATGAACATGACTGTTGAAAGAATGATTCAGACGCAGATTAAGAATGAGTATTGCTATTGTGCGTGTATCAGACAAATGTGATGGATAAATGAATACTAAACTTACCCAAATCTGAAAGTGACTGTTGCTTCATAAGAATTTTATTTAGACTTCTCGCCATTTTTGTTACGATATAAGATTGATGAAAATAATTTATTCAATTGATTATTGAGAAGGAGTTTTCATATATATATAATTTCATCAATTTGAAAATAAAATGTTGTGAGACCGGTAATT